GGAGACATTCTCCTGACCTCCTCTGGGGCACACAGTGGACAGGAGAAGACTCCAGTCAAGCTGGAGTCTCTCTGTGGGGCTGAGCTTAAAACTGTGGGCCACAGCATAAATGGTGAGCACCAATAGGACCAAGAGGACCTCCAGTGGGATCAAGATCGACATCCAAAGAGCAATAGGACCAGACATCCCGAAAAGGCCAGCGAGGGTCTGGAAGAGGAACCAACTAAGCACTTGTCTTCTGATACCATGACACCATGCTAGGGCCCTGACCCCCAGACATCATGCCAAGGAGGTGGAGGGGAGACTTGGCCCCCTGTGTGTGCCCATGAGGGAAGGGCAAGGCCCACTAGTGAGTCTTAGGTCTCCTATTTGTCTTCCACCAACACTCTCCTCTAGTCTATCAAGTAGATTTATTTCCTGTTTTTATTCGTTTCCTGAATTCTACCTGCTCAAAGTTTTATGGTAAACACTATTATCAGAGCTCATTCACAAATCTTTGCTTCTCCCAATTAAATTTTGCTTTGAAAATGAAATTTTTGATTTTACAGTTTTAAGATCCTGTTTTTTTAATACAATGATTCAGATTTATTTAGATAATGGAACTTATAATGAGACTATGCAGAGCACAATGGAGGGGGAATTAGATGTAAAACCATAGCTGAATTCTTGCTAAGAAAAATATCAATTTTTTTTCTAGTCCTCTTTGTTCTTATTCAAGCAGTATATGAAGATCTTAATTTTGTTCAGATTTTAGTTTGGCTAAAGGTTGAACTGCCACCTTCTTTCTCTCTGCCTTCTGGCTTTGAGGATCCTTCCCTTCTCTGGATGAATTTGATGCTCAAGGGGAAAAAAACACATTAAAATATTTGAAAATGTTATCTTAACATGTTAACTTTTATATTCATTCAGTGATAACCAACAATGAAATAAAGTAAAATAAAATAAAACAAAACCTTTGTGTAGCTACTTGTGAAGGCAGCACAAATAGATGGCATTGTGTGGTGTGGGGTGATCTTCCTGATTTCCACTGTTGTCTGGCCAGGTTTTAGCTTTACACCATAAAAGGGTCATTTACAAGCCCAAGTATATTCAATTTGGACAAAGAATGAGGTTGTGCTGACATCACAATGTATGGAGAAGAGCTGAAGAATCTGGTTTTTTTTAGCCTGAAAAAATCTCAAGAGAATCAATCAGTCGAACTCCAATAGCTAATAGATCATCCCCTTCTTAATATTTTTAATTACACCTCATGTGCATTTTAGATTACATCTCCAGTATTTTTTTTTGCCACCAGTCTTTTTTTTTAATATTTATTTTTTAGTTGTAGTTGGACGCAATATCTTTATTTATTTATTTTTATGTGGTGCTGAGGATGGAACCCAGGGTCTTGCACGCACTAGGCGAGTGCTCTACTGCTGAGCCCAACCCCAGCGCCCCCATGCTCATTTTTGAATGGGAATAGATAGGCCACGAGTTTCCAAGCAAATACAATACAGTTCAATTCTTTACACGGATCAGGTGAACCTGTTCACAGCAGTCCTTGAAGTTAAATTTTGTATTTTTCATTTTCAAATACAATCTCCAATTAAAACAGAGGCTCATTTTTTAAGACAATTGTGTGTTGCTGAAGAATTTATCCAGATTATAAAAGCTTCTTTGCTTCTTTAAATGACTTCATATAATAGCTGTTTTCTCCCCAGTACAGGACAGAAAATACATCTTGAATATATGACAGAATTAGAGACCATTCACTCTCCATATTTGCTTCAATGAATTTTGGAAAATAAAATATCCACATTAAATTTTTTGACAAAGCTCCAAAGTAATTGGGACAAGCAAAACAACAAAAGTCCATTAAATGGTGCATCTACATTTATAAAAATAAAGCCTTTTTCTACCTGAATCATGGAAAAACAAGGACTATGTTTCTTTTCTATGGAAACAATTTCCTTTTAATAGAAAGAAATATATGTTCCTTGCAGTTTTCTGAATACTATTCTCTCTTTTAAAATTGATCAGATAGAAATCAAATTTTCCAATTCAGATATCAAAGAATAGTAGGACCTGGGTTTGGTACATGCTCAGCTGAAGGGACTGAAGCTTAGAACATCTTTGGTTTCCCAAAAGAACATTACTTGGATCTCCATTTAGTCAGCTCAATAATACCATAATCCCAATTTCTTGGAGCAAAATTTCTGGCTAGTACTTTATGAGATCTTTCAAAAATATTTGTAAGCCTCACAAAAATTAATTTGAGAGACGTACCATCTCTTTAAGATGTCATTTAAGTAAAAATAAAACTTGGGTGTTTGACATTTTTATTGTTCAGCTTAGGTGCTCTGTTCCTTTTATCCTATCCCACCCCCTCACCTGTGTTAACTTTGTTCCATTAAGATTGGTTCGTTCCTGGCCTTCCACTGAGCACCTTCACATTCCAACATGGAGTATCTCTCTTTGATAGAGAATTATATAGTAGAATGGTGTGCTCTTGCTGGTGTTCAATATTTCCAATTTTTTTTTTTTATCATGAAGGCTGATACTGTGAACAGCTGCATGGATTCTCATTTCAACTTCAGCCTATTTTGGCTATTTTATCTTGGATAAGAAGCACAGTCTCATGCAGGGCAGAGAAATTTGTTTCTTGGGAAATCTCATTCACTCCTTTGGCCACACCCTTGAAAGACCAATTGGTCTCTTCTTCTAGAGCCCAAAGCAAGAATGAAGTCTGGAGGGGCCTGCAGATCCTTTAGCACTGGCTTGAGAAGGAGGCTCTGAGCATAACCTATTCCTTCATTTATTTATCTGTGTATTATTATGCAAATATTTATTGTGTATTGGAAAGATTCTGGATGTGGGGAGAAGGAGTGAATAAAACACAAGATCCTGTGGCTTTCTGATTTTTTGCTGAGATCATTTCCTTACTTTTTAATCCCCCCACCTTTTTTTTTTTGGTGCTCATTTGTAGTTTCCCCTAATTATCAGCTTGTAGGAAATGAGTGGAAGCCCAGATTCCAATTCTGTGCAAGGCACATACATTGGGTGAGACTGGCCATATGCCTTAGTTGGCACATATTTCTTTTGTCAAGAAAGGATTTGTTATGTCTTTAATAGAGACTTTAAAAAATAGTTGCAGATTTCCTAACTCTTCATCACTCATAATGGAAATTTTTCTAAAGATCATTAGTGAAAATTAACTTTGAATGTTTGACACTGAGTTTGGGCAGAAAGTTGCCGGATGAAATACAGTGTTTGAGAATTGTTTGTTGTTTATCTGAGATTCAAATTTAAGTAGGCATTTTTAAAATAAATTTTGCAATCTTATTGGATATCATAAATTTTATTAGGTGGATCAGGCCAGTAATTTATTTTTCAATAGAATCCAGGCCAAAACTGCCATCCAGGGTTGCCTTTGAAGTAAGCTGGTGGTTCTTTAGTGTTTAAGAGAATTCTATCGTGACCTTACTAAAAACTCATTCTCAAACTCCTTAAATGGTATCAGAAAGGATGTAAAATGTCCAGGAACCAGCGGCCTGGCCTTCCGAGGTCCTTCCTATGTTCAGGGATAGAATGACATTCCTGGATGTGATAATGCTCTAGAGGGGGCATGGCTTCAGGTGGATCTCTGGGTTCATGGCATAAACACTTCTTTACATAATGTTTATCTCAGAGACCAGAAGAGTTCCAAAAAAGTTTCTGTCACTTGCCAAGAAAGATCTATTTTTAAAAACCCTTATTACAAAAAAAAAAAAACCCAAAAAACAAAACCCACCACTATTTAAATATCATGGCATTAATCCCTGAGGAAAGGTGTAGTATTATAAAGAAAATTGTAAGATAAAAAGATTTAGGAAGAGCTCTCATGGACTTTTCCCTCTCTTCCCAGCTGATACTGCTGAACTTACACAGGCTGGTGGCGTCCAAGACAGTCAGTCCTCAGTTTGTACGTGAATATTTCACAGTGATTTGAAAGAACAGATGTTCTCATATTTTCCCCTCTTGCAAATTTTGAAAATAATCTTTTAAAAGTATTCCAAAGTGCTTAACCTTTGCTCTGAGGTAATTACAGGTAAACATCTCCTTACCCACTAGGCGGGTTTTTGAAGAAAGTTCTTATATCACCCAATCATCAAATGTTTCTGGCACCCTGTGGAGTCTGTCTGTTGGAGTGAGGTAAGGATTCACTCAACATAAATGCCCAGCGATGTCACCACCAGTCACTGACACTTCTTTCACACCAGAAGTAGAAGGCATGGAGGGAAACCAGCCACAGACGCAAGAGTAGAAGAAATGATGAAGCCGAAGAAACAGAAGTGGGAAGACAGAGAACTCCTGTTCCAACCCTGAAATGCTATTAAGGGGAAGAAGGGGCTGTGCAGGGTGCAGAACCAGCACATCAGCAGAAACGGAAGGATGGCTGGTGCAGGCTGTGTTGAAGAGCCTCAGGGAGGAGCACTTCCACCGACCGCCCTGCTCCCTGGGAGAGCTACCAGTCCCTAGCTCCCTGCCCCCAGGTTCTGTCAGCAGGGGGCCCATCTAGACCAAACCTGCCCTTTCAGCTCTGTGATTTGGGGTCAAAAACTGAGCATCATTAATGACAGAATGTGCTGTTTCAAACCCCAAACATTGGAGATTTCTATTTGAATTTGAGTCTCAACTCTGTCTGGGTATCTTGGATAAATGGCTGAGGCTTTGATCCTCTGTCAACTGCAAAGCATTGTGGTGAAGATAGAATAGCATATAACCAATGCTTGGCATGCACCAGAGAATCAACGAATGCCTAGTAGGAAGGAAGGAAGGAAGGAAGGAAGGAAGGAAGGAAGGAAGGAAGGAAGAAGGAAGGAAG